AAATGTACGGGAAATGGGAGAAGCCGAGTAGAGGAAAGCGAATCGAAAGAAGAAGAAGACGTGGATGAAGAAGAAGATGAAGAAGAAGAAGAAGAAGAGGAAGAAGAATAAGAAGAGGACGAAGAGGGAATTGGCTGGCCGAAATGCGCGTAAGGTCGACGACGTCTGGTCTTATTTTAAACTGGTCCTGCCCGAGATTCGGCTCTCCTTGGTTCGTTGATCGCCTCAACTCGGTCGCGGTTGTCCCAGGTCCGGGAAAAAAGAAGGGTACCAGTCGCCTTTGGTAGGGAAAGGGGGAGAGTTCGAAAGAGAGGGAGAGACAGAGAGAAAGAGAGACGGAGCGCGGTGAAAAAGGAAAAGAAGAGGACGAAGACGAGGAAGAAGAAGAAAAAGGAGAAGAAGGATGCGTTGCATCGGCGTGTCGGGGGCGGGGAGTAGGCAGGAAGAAAGGAACGGAGGCGAGTGAAGACCCCAAAACTTTCGGGTCATTGCCGTCTGGTCTCGTTTTAGCCTTTCCTTCCTCCCACCTACCACCTTCTCCTCCTTCTTCTTTCCTTCCTCTCCCTTCGTTGTTCTTTTTCTCTCCGTTTTAAGCACTCTTTTGAGCAAGGTTGGCCACCATGTTTTTCCTCGCCGCGTGCCCCTACCGCCTCCGTGTGCGTATATAAACCGACCTTCGCGCTCTCTTGTCCGGCAGAAAGAGAGAGAGGAGAAGGGAGAGAAGTCGGAGAGATGAACAGAGACGAGGGAAAGAGAAAAAGAGAATGGCCGAGAGAAACAGAGGGGGAGAGAGAGAAAGAAAGAGTCGGGAAATAAATATAACAAAAAAAGATACGAATGTATAGTAGATCGAAATACGTACACGACGACCGCGAAACTGTTCCTTTTAACACGAGGTCACCACCGAATGACGGAGACAGATACTTTTCAATGAGGACGTCGAATTTCGTTCATATCACTTCATTTTTTACCTGTAACGATGAATGACCTTTGTTGCCGTCGCTTTTCGAATTTCGAACGCGATGTGGCGCCCTTAAAATCGCGGGAGTGTCCTGCTCAATTAGCCGGACAACGGCAACAGAGGCCATCGTGATTGTGTCGTAGTAGCTAGTTTTGTGATCTATGCTTTGCATTCCCGTTCGAATCGGCGAGGTGCGGGAAAGATCGATCGGAAGACCTGCGATCCAACGGAACAGCTGTTCTTCCAAACGCTAACATTAGAAACGAATCTTCCGCGACCGCGGTTCCCGATCGATCTTCGCGCCTCGCGCTTTTACACATTCGCCTGTCTGGGCTTCGCTTTCTCCTTCCCGTCTTCCTGGAACGTCCTTCCATGATTTCATAATCTCACGCCTAACAAAAACGGATGATTCGAACCCATAACCGGATACTTCTCACTCGTTTCCTTGTAGAATAACAAGAAACCATTTCAGCTTCCTCTCCGGACCCTCAAGCATCCTCAGCTTCTACGGCCCGTGTCCTTGAGGAAATCGAGCTCGATTAACGCGACGAACGAGAAATAACTGACCATACCGATAGAAATAATTATCTCCATTCATGTGTCCCCTGGAACGATTCTCAATCAGTGTTCAAGTACCATAGTTGAGTTCGCGATGATCCGAGGATACCAAAAGAACAATATCTCCAATGTCCTCGAGTAGAGTTTGCGCGGATTTCAAAATAATTCACGTGGATTTTAGTAACTGAATAATCAGAGTAAATTGATCATTTCTGTCGATCTTGCGAAATGGAAGATTTCTCTTTAGACAAACTTTGCACCCTCTGCGATTAGATTTAGACTCCAAAGATTAATTAGTACTCCAGCCACCGAGTCGTCGTGTCTTTTCGAATGATACAAGATTCATGAAGATTTATTCAATCGTCTAAAACCGAATTGCACAGGAACTTGTTGACATTAGAAAAATCCAAGCTAAGGTAATGCATTCAACGATCCTGTTGTATTTCTCGCGACACAGTCCAATCTAGACCGTCCGCTTTCGAACGAGATCAAAGGACAAGAATCGAACTCAACCTCTCGATAAAGTTCGATCGGACATAACCGGTGACTGGAGTATTAATAAAATCCTCTTTGGACTATCCTCCCGGTGTTTTGAACGCGTTGAGAGCGGCTCGAGAGACCTCGTCCCGTGGAATCCTCCCTAACCAGACACTCGAGGTGAATTCCCTTTTGCAAACGTAAAGAAAAAAAGAAACAGAAAGATTCAATTCATAGAGAAAGAAAAGCGAAAGAAAAAAAAAATAAAGAGAATTAATTAGTCCGTGGTGGCGGAGGCAAATCGGTGCCCTAACTCTCACTGGTCAATCGTTCTGTTCTGTGCGCTGCCTGTCCTGCGCTTCTGGTTCGCGACACTCTGTGGTGGTATTCTGTGGGTCGGCTGCTCTCTACCGGGTGCGCCGCGTGTGCCTGCTTCCGGTCTCTTCTTCTTCCGGCCCCCGCAAAAAAGGAGTTGCAACAGCGTGTTGTGTTCCAGCAACACGCCGCTCTGATCGGCGGCCCGAACGCAACCAGCTGCCCTGTCTGCCACAAACTCTTCCTCGGCGGCGAGGCTCTTATGGAGCACATGAAGCACACCCACAAGGACCCGAATGCCTCCGGCGTTGCCAGTAAGTATCTACGGATAATCGAGCAACCTCGATCACCGTCTGTGTCATTCTTTCTTTCTCCGTTCTTGCTTCTGTTCACGCGTGTACGTTGGGGACCGTGCCGAATGCCTATCTACCGTATCTATCTTCCAGGCCCGCTGACAACCGTGAACGTGCTCGATACTCTTTCCGATGAGTGGTCATCGCGGACCACCAGCGTTGTCCGCCTATCGCAATTTATCATAATTTTTCATTTTGCATTCAATTACTCTGTTAACTCGATTCGAAATTTATGTTATTAATGCGTCGACTACCGAGCGATTTTCGTATTGCATTAAACACTTAATGACGGGGCATTATGTAAAATCATTCGATCGTTAAGGAAGCTTTTATCAGTTCCAATAATTCCGAAAGAGAGAACGGGAGATGTGAATCGCTCGTTTGTATCTGTCGATTTATCATTTCCTTTGAATCAGCTAACTTCGACAATATAAAAGTTCAGTCCCTTCGTATTTTATGTATTAAAGAAACAAAGCGATAGTCGATCATTCCGCGAACTTTACAAACACCGCTTAGCTAGGCAGCCGACGCATTAAATTAAAAAGCAACTCGGCCTGATAAAAAGCGTGTTGGCCAGTTAACGACACCCGGAGAGAAGCACGGTGGTCAGTGTGTCGACGCACTAACGCTGTAACACGTTCGACTAACGATGGGACGCGCTTTGGGTCTATCCGGTAATCGCGGGGAGGAGACCAATCCGCCATAAAACCGAGAGAAACAAATTATCCAATCGGCGCAAGAAACCGAGAAAGAAATCATTGATAGGAGACATTCGAGGCGATCCGACGACGATTGGTTCCTCCTCCCGACGGTCACCGACTTCCGCTGGTTAAGCTCCATTCGTCTAACACCACCTAACAGCTAACGAGCGGCCCGGAGGGGTTGGGTTTCTCGCGCGGATTCCTTCGTGGAGAAAGAAAGAACGGAGATAGACGTAACGAGGGTGCCTTAATTGCGCGAGTAAGTCTAAAACAAGAGAAAGAGAGAGAGGGGAGGGAGAGTGGGAGAGCGTGCACGCGTGTAAGAGAGAAATCGAATGAGAGGGAGAGTGAACGGTGGACGAGAGAAAGACAGAGCAAGAGAGGGGAATGAGAGAGTGCGAGCGAGAAAGAGGTGGAACAACCGCTCATCGGGAGACACGAACGAGGGGTGGTTCGTCCTTAGTCTTTAAGTACGTTTCACGTCCCCACCCCCACCCCACCTAAGAAACTTGCTTTGGCGCGGGCGATATGCACACATTGTCCTGTCACTTCTTCGTACTCTGTTGTTTCGCTGAAACGGAAAAAGGGGGTGTAGCACAGTTAGAGCGCACTCACCGACTAATACCTATTTTGCGTACACTACTGGCTAATATATTAATTTATATATATACGGGTGCACCGCGACACGTGGGAAAAGATTTGCCGATGGCTTTAGTACATTGAAAGAATAAAAAAGCGTTTATGTAAAGATACGTTTTACTTCATTTGAACTTTCAAATTGTAGCGAGTTCTTACAAGGTCTCTCCAGTGTCACTGGAGAAATTTTAAATTACTTTGCATGGAAACACTATTCTACGTTAATGCAACGTATTAGTTAATTATAGATTATTTCGATTCGTATGAAGAATTATTGCGAAGCTCGCTATAACTCGCAAACGAGGTCAAATAGAATCTATATTTATACGAACTTCCTTTTATTCTTTCGATGCGCCGAAACCGTACCCCAAAATCTTTCCCCCGTGTCACGGTGCACCCTGTATATGCGTTATATACTACATATATACAGCACACGTACAGTGTACGCGTGTATACATAGTATATATCGCATATATATAAAAAAAGACACCGGTGCTTGAGTAAGGGTGATGTTCTCGTTCTCGTTTTGTGCGTGTTCTGTCAAGTGTGTGGGCAAGCATATACATACGTAGAAATGCCGTACGTATATGTATATATTGATCTAGAGAGTCCATATTAGATAGACGTACAGAGAAGAACAATCGACAAGACAGCGAACTCTATCGCGCGGTGTCCCGTTTTTCGAACGCGTCGTCTCGTTTCCTCCATCGTCTTCCAAGTAGAAAACCGGGGTGAGAACACGGTGTGCGTCGTACGATCACGTACACGAGCCGAGGCTCAGAGTTCTTTCATATCGAGGCTGGGCGTCGTTCAATAACGGCAACTCTAGCGGAGAGTTTATACAGAATGAGAGAAACAGAGACGCAGAGACAAAAGAGAAAAGAGAGAGACAGAGAGAGAGAGAGACAGAGAGAGAGAGAGAGAGACAGAGAGCAACTTCAGTCACACGTGCTGTTTTTTTCGCGGACGAACGCGGGATCGCGTCGAGAGGAAAAATCGATGCGAAACTTTTCGGAGCGGAGAGAGCAATTCGACGCGCGCGTGCGTCTGATCTCTCTTCTCCGCGAGAAACAGAAAGATAAACGGAGGACGAAGAATCCGTGAAACTGGAATAGTAAACGGAGGTAGACAAGCGAAAACGGAGGAAACTAATAAGCGAGGGAACGGCTAGATCGCTAGAGAAACACGTAACGACCGTACACACGAGCGTGCGGTGCGAAAGAGAGAATCGAGAGAGCGAGTTAAAGAGGGAGTTAAAGTTTACACGCGTGTCCACGGCAACAGTTTACCGCGACTGAACGAGAAAGAGAGAGAGAGAAAAAGAGAGAGGAAAAAAGGTAAA